GTCTCCTTAGAATAGATGACTTAAACATTCAGTGTGGGTGTCTCTGAAAGTCAATCAACTGAAGCATCTGCATGCTAAAACCCACATGAGCAGAGCTGCTGACATGGGTGAGTGTTTGCAGGAGGCAACACTTCGACAGCATAGACAGGCATTGTTCAAATAATCCATTTACAGTTCGTATGGGAATCAGCAAGGTTGTTGTGTGATGATATTTATTTGTTTGTTTATTTTGTATTTAGAACAGACTCATTCATGTCTAAACAATCAGCAGAAACTTCTATGAATCCCTCACAGTACAGGTTTCTAAATCTAGCTCTGAAAACAACATCTGAAGAAACTTACAGGCTCTTCTAGGTCACATTCTTTGCCTCCTAAACAGATAAAATTTTCTTAGACAAATGCAGCAGCTTTCACAGTTTGTTTGTTTTTCCCCTCGCATAACTAGTGTTATTTCCTTCTAACTTCAGAAGTCAAGGTGTGTCGGAATTGACATGTTTCAGAATTAGTTACAGAACACATGAGACATCTTCTGGCAATTTAAGTAACAGTACTTACAAGTACTAAACTTCATTCATGTGTAGGCACCACATCTGAAATTACTACTCCTCTTTAAAATCAGGATCAGCTAAGCATAAATTACAGTATCACAAACATATTTAGAACGTGACCTGACCTTGCAGTCTGAAATCCAGGGAACCTTCTGGAGGCCTGGACACTTTTCAGGTCCATCTGTGAAAATGGCACTGTGCCACTGTTTACAAGGTGGGGTGCAAGATTCAACAGTGCACAGGAAGCAAACCCAGGGCAGGCAGCAGCCCCTTGAGCAGGAACTAGAGCTGTGCACAGCCAGGAAAAATCACACTATACCCTTTTTTTTTTTTTTTTTTTTTTTGTCAATTAATATTAAGCAAATAGTATTATAAAAATAAATGTGTGGAGTAGCAAGATGGTTAAGGCACCTGAGAGCAGATATATACATCTCTAAATTGTGAGATTAAATCCTGTTCATATCAGCTACAGCTGGAAAAGGTGAAATTTGTAAAAAATTCAATGTTATTCTCGGTCTTTTAGTACAATTTCATGCAAAATATCCACCTTTTTCTGCCCTCATGTCTTCTTTTGCAGAGCTAAAAGAATAATGCTTAGAAGTGTTGTAAGACATTTTAGATAAACAAAAATGGAATACACAGATGATCCATCATTCTCTGAAGTCAGCTGTTAACTTCTCAATGATTTAACAAAATTTGAATTAAGCCCTGGAGTAGCAGTTATACTGTGTATGAAGAACACATTAGATAAAAATCATTTAGGTCAACCCCTTTCAAATAGCTAAATACATGGTGAAGTTTACTCAGATTTGTGGAGCTGCACAGATTTGCAGGTTTAGGACAAGACAGGCATTCTTTCAAGAGGCAAGCCCTGAAGCTATGAAAACCATTGCTCAGTGGGAAGTCTGTATAGAACTCCTCACTCTCACTATGCTGTTACAGCCTGCTAAAAACATTTTTACAAGAGTTAATGGGAAAAGAGTAATTTTTCGTAACTAAAGATTCCTTTCTCCTGGAGAAGTCCAAGGAAGAGCAAATGATCTCTGTTGCCTTGACAACATTTCCTGAAACACTCAAGCATTAAAGTATTCAGTATGCTCAAGAAAGTTGCAATATCTATTTCATATTGGACATTTACCACATTTATTGTGTTGGCATGCACTCATCTGTCATCTGTGAGCATTTGTCACAGAAAGCAATGTGCCAAATAATACATTAGAAATATCTGAGCTGACTTAAATGCACATGGTATTTTTCCTGTGTATTTCCATGGCTAGCAAAAGTTGTTACCTCTATGGCCTAGAAAAAAAGAGCATTCTTCCATGATTTGTGGATATTAGCAAAATAAGTCCTGTCTTTCTCCTAATGCATTTCTTAACTGAACAAAGGGATCACTTCTACAGAGTGGCTGGAGGGAGTCTGTCCTTGAATCTCAGTCTGAACCCAAACCTTGGCTTTTCCCATGGGTTTTTTGGAGGGTGCTCCAGGGGCACAGCATTGCTGCTTCTGAGAAGACGACTCTTAGGTCCACATGAGGAGTTTATGTCTCTCTTGCTGGCTGTTCATTGTAGGAGACTGAAAAATCTGACTTTCTAAAGCCATACTGAGGGACAAAACAAGCAGGAGTTGCAAGTCTGAAATGCTGCAAAGAATCTCAACTTCTCTTTAAAGAAAAATAAATAAATAAGTGAAATAGGCTTGTACAGGTAAAATAGACAGCACCAGCCTCTGTGAACCCAAAGCTAACTTTCATGTTTTCATCTCCCTACAGACTGCCCTGGATGTAATAAGGATAAGCAGATAATAAAGCAGTACCAAAATGGCTCACTGCTAATCAATTCTGATCCATTAGAGGGAAGTGTTTGTACACAATGTACTACATAATTCCCTTCAAGCATTTCTAATAATTTCTTTGGATGAAGCTGATGAGATAGCATACTCTGCTTCTGACATAATGAATTATTTTATTGACAAATAAAATGAAATGTACTGATCACTATATTTACTACAGGACATTTGCTCCAATCATTTTTACTAACAAAGGCAAAATATGAACTGGTTTGTGGTTTTTTCTGACTCCATGTTAGTAGGCATAATTTGGGCTGGGCAGACATAATCTCTACCTAGACAATTCCTGTAAGACTTCTACTTCACAACAAGAATATGGTTTCCTTCTCAAGGGGGAAACAGCAGAATAAGAGACAACCCACATGATATAAATCATCAAAAATACCGAAATTTCCCAAAGAAACACTGCCAAAGAAAACAAAAATGGAAGACAGTAATCCTCCTGTGAGGATCTCAAGCTTCATCTAAATTAAAACTTCAGGTGAACTGAAAGGTTGTGGGTGATTTCAAGTGCAGGATAAGGAGATTGTTAATTGTCCTGCCTCGAGCAGGTCTGCAGCCCTCTCTGACCTGTGGCTTCCTGTTCTGTGAATTATCTCCTGTGGCTGCTTCCGAGCTCATCTCCGCTATTACCAGAGGATTTATGTCATGCTCTGACCCCATCCTTTAGATGACCTCTGCTGCCCAAGGGACACACGTGCTGACACAGGAGTTTCTCATGCAGCTTTTGGCTTATTAGTTCCTTGAGCCATATTTAGAGGCAGCATTTAGTACTGCCCCTTTGGAACTCTGTGCATCTCTGACAGTGAGGAGCCATGGAACAAGCCCACTGTTGTGATAAACTGCTCTGGTTGTCGAACAGTAGCTGCTCACCTGTATCTTCCAAACTTTTCCACCACTTAAAAGACACAGAGTGTCTGAATGTCTGTCCTGCATCTGCATCCCCAGATGATGCTTGGAGAACTTTAATCACGGACTATCCAAACTGCCAACAGACGCTGCAATCCAGTAAAGCCAGTGGCTGGATGGCCTCCCTGGCTACATAATGCTGATTTTTTTGGTGAAAATTTCCAACGACTTGGCCAGCCTACACCTTACAGACAGCAGTCAGAGCAACACAACTTCTAGAGGCTGTCGAGGAGTTTGCTCTCAGTTATGTGCTAAGAACCACTGCTGCCCTCTGCTGCAGTATTTTGGGTTGGGTCTCTGATAACCACCGAGAGCCACAAATATTCAAGTAAAATTTCTAGACTTAACCAGAACTGAGCACGCTTAATGTTTCCATTACTGACAAGATTATTCAAAAGCTCAGTTTCTAATTCATCAGAAAAGTCTGATGCTGCAAGGGCCAGGTCAAATAGAAAAAAACTTTATCTTTTTTATCTGATTTTGACTCCTAGAAGAGGGACACCCTAGTAAAAGTTTGGACATGCTTCCTTTCTGCAGCAAATGCTGTCTCATCTTCTGATAATAAACAGCCACAGAAGAATAAGAACTGTGAAGTGAGAAACTCACCTTGGGGCCAAAATGAGCACCAAGGTTCTGGGATACATCCCTGAATGCTGGCTTAAATTCTGATGGACAGCCAAGTTCCAGGTCAATTGAACTAATCTTTTCTTAGTCTCAGTTTATCCAGTTCTGATGGGATACAGCTCATGACACCTCAAACAATTAGGTTCCTTTCTCACTGATGCTAGGAAAAGTAACATGAGTGCAACCTTACTGTATTCACAAAATGCTTCAGATATAAATAGTTTATTTCTTCCCAGCCCTCCACAAACTCCAAAACCCCTTTCTTTTGTTATTTCCATCTGAATAGGTTGCATCGCTCATAGGTGAGAGCAACTGTCATGCACACCTAAAACAATTTTAGAATCATCTTATGTTTCCCAATCTCACAGATCCAATTACTCCTCTCCTCACAGCATTGCAACTACAGTGTCTCCAACACACAAAGCTAAATTGCAAAAACTCATCAGTAGACAGGAATAGATAGCAGATGGTGGCAGGCCAGAAGAAGAAAGCCAGAGACACAGCCTTCCTACTCAGGGGAAAACCCAGGCTGCTCTCAGCAATTATCTGTGCAGGTCTCCAAAGGAATTAGATACACATTTCAAAGGAGGCAGGCTGAGAGTCTGGCTAATGAAAGAACTGTGCATCCTTCCAAATGCTCAGGGTGTCCACACAAAGCTCTGAGTCCCTCGTGGTGACTGGTTCATATTCTGGGTGCTGAACCAGAGAAACCTCCACAACTAAAACCACAATACCATCTTATGTCAAACCTGAAATTTCTTCCAATAGGGCTGACACAGTCTTACATGTGTAAGATGGGACACAAAGAAGGGAACCTGTAAGGCACTTTCACTTGCAGCTTCCAGCTGTTCTTATTTTTTGATCCATAGAAACTAGTACAATTAATTCTATATCACACACTTTTCCTGATGATTGCAAAACAAAAACACTGAAAATAATTCTGAAAATCAGCAACTTTGTTCCAGAATCAGCAGGAAGACTTTCTATGAGAATTTTTGTATTCTCTGCAGTTATCTGAGAACATAATGGGTGGTTCAATTCTTCATAAACTCTAGTTCACAAAACACCTACCTCTAGGACTTTCCCAGTAATGAACTGGTGACATGCTTCACACTTGACTCCAAAAAGAACTTGGTAGTCCTTTTCACAGTAAGGAGCACCATCTCTGAAAAAGAAATTTCACAAATTACAAACCATTTCATATTAAACAGGTTACAGCATGACTTACTCTCTTCATTTGTCTTCAGTTTCGAACTCCTACAGACAGACACAGGTAAATGGGGACAGTTCAAGGGAAACACTTTGTAGTACAAGAAACAAAAATCATATTCTCACTAATGTCTCTTAGAATTACTCCTTAAATTTCCATCAAGAGAAGGCATCCAGGACAAAGTACTGAAATAAAATTCCTTCTTTAGAGCAGACTCTCTACACCTACAGGGTGTGCAGTTCCAGGGAATCAGTGTAACTGATTGATTCCTCTCTCTGGGGTTGGGAGGAAATCAGAGTCTATCACATGCAGACAGTTTTTGTTCACTTCAGAAAAAAAAGAAACACCTTTGGTAGGCTACAAGACTATAAGCAGTTATTTCAAGTGTAAGGTAATGCAGTATTTTAGTGTGTTCAAGGAACATACAGTAAAAGTGGAAACACTAGTCAGCCCAGGAGCATTTCTCAGGCACCAGATTTTTTTTTTTTTTTTGACAAATTACAGATGCTACTTCTTAGAAATATTATACACACCCGAATGACAATTTTGTGAAATTGACATTGTTTCCTTATTTTTTCTCTTGCTATATGCTTGAAGGGGGAAAAAGAAACTGTATCTTAATTTACTCTCTTTTATCATTTTCCTGTTCTCTTCCTCTACACTCAAAACCCTCGTTCATTAGTTTCTTATATGGAGATGAGAAATACAAAGTCAGGTCAACCACATCATCACATTTACTCTATTATCTAGTAAAGGTAAGAAATGGACAAATTCCTATTTTTTTTCCCCTCAAAATCACATGTTGTAAAGCAAAATGACACAATGCTTTATCTGGCTACTACAGAAAACACGTGCAACAAACCACCAAATTCTCTATGGGAATGTGGAATTATACCTCTTTCAGACTGGCATTAAATATAAACTGGTGTCATTAAACATAAGCTTTCAGTGGCACTTTGCACTTCACTTTCCCAGCTCAGCTCTCACTGGGAACAAAGACTTTGGTGTATATGAAAAGATGGTCAAAACAGGACTTCCAGATGTGAATTTTGCTGCAAGCTCTTCTCTGCTAGCAGCTAAAACTGTGCCATGAGTTCAGAAGAGAAGCAGACAGAGATTACTCACTTGCTGATGTATTCCCCAGTCAGGACCTTCCCACAGGCCTTGCACTTAAAGCAGCCCAGGTGCCACTGCTTATCCAGGGCCAGCAATGCTTGTCCATTTTTGATGTCTCTTCCACAGCCAGCACAATCTGCAAATAAGCAAACAGAATATTTGTCGTCAGCTACTTGGTTCATTAACCTTAATTAACTGCCCACCTGTCACAACATTTGGTAGCTAAAGGGATGAAGTGCACAGCAGCGCAAAGGTACAGCTTCCTTTTCTTAAACCCTTCCAGCTCCTGCACAAAGACTCATTACAGACATTCTCAGCAGAAGAGGGAAAGTACTTCTGTTTCTCGTGCTGTTTATCATTCAAAAACCACACGGCTCTGTACAAACTTCAGATTCTGTCAGGAGTAAGCTGCGAAAAAGTCCTCAGTGCAGAAAGTTCCTGTCTTCTGCAGCAAGCAGCAGCAAGCAGCAGCAAGCAGCGTCTGTGGTTTTGCTTTAGCAACACCCTGAGAGCTCGCACGGAGCTGAGCCAGCAGCGCCAGCACAAATCCTGTCCCCGTTGGGTGGCAGCAGAGCCCTGCGTGTGGCACCGGGAGCAGGGGACACACCTGCCTGCAGGTACAGCACAGGGCACAAACCTGCCTGCAGGGACAGTCCTGGGCACACACCTGCCTGCAGGTTCAGCCCTGGGCACACACCTTCCTCCAGGGACAGCCCAGGGCAGGGCTGACAGCCTTGCCACCAAGGTGGGGGCTGCAGGGAGAGTGTGTGTGGTAGTCCAGGGCATCCCTCTGGCTGCCCTGGCAGGTCTGGGACCCTGGCAGGGGTCAGGAACCCCCCTGGACAGAGCCCCCAGAGACACTGGCTGTGATCTCTGTCCATGGAAAAGAGTTTTCAATCTTACAGGATGAATTACAAGCTCTGAGTGTTTGATATAAGTAATAATTAAGTGTGGCACGGGTGCAAAAGTAAAATTTTAGGATTCTAGATACGGGGTCCAAAGGGCACAAGATGGAGGAAATTGGGTGTGTCTTGTCCTTTTTCTCCTTCTTCATGCCCTCCATGTTTCACTGTGGTGTTGGCATTTTTCTATTGGTTTAGGCTGGGGACACACTTTTCAACGTAGGTGACAGATATTGGCACGTTATTGTAAATCCAGCACAGGTAGTTTCTGGTATTTAATGTTTGTAACATCCCACTGAGGGCAGAGCCCCACACGCTGCCCTGCAGGACAGAGCTGCGGCAGGGCAGCAGAACATGTTAGAGATAAACAGAATAAACAACCTTGAAAACTCGGCTTCACGCATTCCAGACCTCTTCTTCAGCAGCCGGGCAAGGGAAAAAGGACTTTCACACTGTTAGGGTCTTGCCAAGTGACCCCGACAAGCGTGTTGCCATCCACCTGCAGCTATGGGAAGCGGAAGTTCTCCTGGTCTCTAATTGACAAAAGGACTCTGGCTCAGGAGTTTGGGTACTTTGCTGGTACTTTCACTGCAATCAGTCCTGGAGGACCCTGATGGCACAAAGAGAACCAGAAGCCAGGAGCACTCTGTCCCAGGGGGGTGCCACAATATCTCATGTTATATCAGACATCTCTAGCTGAGCCCCAAGCTTCCATTCCTCTCCCTTCAAGCATAAAATACTCAAAAAGATTCCCTGTTAAGGGGCAGTCCAGCCCATGGTAAGATGTGAAGAGACTGATGTGGCAGACACTACTGAACTGCAAGGGTTGAGCTCTGTGCCCAGCCTCAGGGGACAGAAGGACTGAGGGAGGGGAGGCCCTGGAAGCCCAGTGAAGTGGAGAGGGAATGGGAATGCCCATCAGCTCAGGCACTCATGGAAGCCACAGAGACAGCCTGGAACAAAAGATTTTCCAGATATTACTATCCCCACACTTGGTGTTCCTTTGGTGAATGCCTGAAACACAAATAAATCACAACAAATGGAAACAAACAGAACTGAGCAATGTGAGATGTTAAAGCCCAGGCAGCAGGGAGAATATCACCCTGGCTCCAACACTCAAGCTGACTGAGCCCAAAAACCTTCCCCTCTTCATGGGATTAAGCCCAGGCAACACCATGCCTTGCAAAAGGGCAAGTCCAAGTTTATTATCACAACTGATAATGAGAGCAAAGTCAGTCCTTTTGATTGACTTTTGTTTGTTGGGTAATGGGCCAAGAGAACCCCAAATATGTGCTGCACATTCCTGCTATCCAGGAATCCACCACTGCATCTCTCTCTTCCTATCAGCATTCTTCTTCTCAAATCCCCTATAAAAGGAGGGGAGGGGGACTAAGCACGGTGGTATCTTGTGACAAAATGCAAGTCACAGACTTTTGACACAACTTGGACTTGAAAAGCAGCCTTGAGATGTCCTAATGCCAGGACTTTGCTCTAGAGGACATACGTTACAAGCTGAAATCATGAAATGACAAGGAGTGACACCATGTAATGTATCCCTCTGCTCTGCCATGACAGCTGAAGGCTCCATGCCAGGCTGTGATGACAGCAAAGGCTGGAACAGGTCACCAAGGGAGGCTCTGGAATTGCCAGCACAGGGTGAGGAAGGGACAAACACGTGTCAGAGTGGCTTTGGCATGCTGATCTCACCGTTGGTTTGGGGAGGATACTACATCATCTCTTGAGGTTCCTTCCAGCCTAATTTCCTTAAGCTAAATCTGAAACCATGCAACATGACTTTGAGAACAAATGAGATCCTCCCCCAGTCCCAGTGGTTGCTGAACTACAGTTTTAAAACAGCACCCATTTCTCAGCTCCCTAGCACTACTGCTTCCTCCTGGTGTGCATTCCCTGCTATATTTTCCCTCAAAAAAATCTGCTGTATTTTCCATGCTGTTTTCATTTTTGTCTGGGAAACTTCGGTGAAGCTGAAATTTCCATGAAGCTGAAATTTCTCAGAAATTGAATCATTAAAAAGATTTTTAAAACACTTAATTTCTCAGGTGGTGGGAATAGAGAAACTGCCTTACACAAAAGGTCTACCTAGTCTGGCATCTTTATTGGTGCCAAAACCAGATACATGGGGGAAGTAGGGATCCATGAAGTACCTCTGACTGTTTAATTGCTTCTTTGTAAGCCAAAGTCACAGTAAGTCTGAGCACCAGACTTAGCATTGTTCTCATGTTTAATACCAGGGGTTGGCAGCATCCTTTTATTATTTTATAGCACCAATGACATCTACACTCTTTCTGCGTTCCTTGAAGTGTTTTGCAAAAAGAAATTAACATCATTCCCATTCTGCTAGTACAACAGACACACTGAATGTCTAGAAGCAAAGTAAACTAATAGCCTAGTACTGCTCTATTAGGCTGAGATGGCTTTTAAATAAATCTGATTTTAATTTTGACAAAACTGTTTGGTATATACATGAAAAGCTTGCAATTATCATTATCTCCTAAAATAGAAAGTGAATAGGGCTGGGCTGGGCTAAGAAAAGACTATTTGTTCATCCAAATTCTACAAATACAAGCCATTATGATCTCAGGCCTGCATGAGGCACATTTAAGCCCTTGGCTGAATGTCATCAGCATATGCAGGCAGGATCTCAGTACCACATTAAGCACAATCTGTATTTGTCTAACCTATAACTAGCACATGCTGCAAATAAAAGGGCTGTGAGGTAAGAATAGTGGTCCACACCCATATGCCAGAGCAGACTGGAAAACTTGACAATCCTTCCTAATTTGTGTACAATGGTTCACACCATGGTGCTCTCTGGTTTCATACCTGGGTCTAACAGACTGCACCCCCTGAATCTGAGCTTTCTTGCATTTTCTTTTTGCCATATCACCTGGATTCTTCCTTGCTGCCACTCCTTGCACATCACACACTCAGCAGTGCCAAGATAACAAAGAGGAGGAGGCGGACAGTGCAGAGCAATGGTTAAAATGCAGAGAGAGCAGTACTGCTCCCAGATGCACTTAGATAGATGTATGGCACATTTGACATGTCTGGCTACAAAAGAAAATGCCTGGACAAAAGAACTGTGCTGTGGAGTCAGCCAGCCCAAAAGCATTGGAAAGTGGGGGGACAGGGCACGTCACTACAATATAATATATGATTTAGACCTCCACTCTCCCACCACCTTTAGCAGCCCCACTAAAAGGCACAGGTCAGGCTGAGCTGCCAGCCATGACACCTTGCTTGTAAAGATATGAGAAAATGTGTTTCCCTTTTTAGCATCTGCACCACCCCAGACATCCAGGAGTGAAGCATCCTGCACAGCAAGCCATTTGTCACTGTCTAAATTAAGCAGTGGATTTTCTGCCTTTGCCTCCCTCCCCTGCTCTCAGCCAATAGTGCACAGGTGAGCTCAGAGCTGATGAAGCTCTGGGATTAACCCTCAGCACACAGAGTTGGACTTTACTCACTCCCAGGTGGATTTGCTTTACAAATTTAACAGGAAATATATCTTTATCCCACATTCTCTGCTCATCCCATATGATTTTTGAAGGAGAAAGCATCTCTATGTGCTTTTGTCCCAATAAAGAGGGATATGCAAAGTCATGTGAATGATTACACCAACTCTGCTTCATGCAGGGTCAGCTCTGTGAACAAAGCTAATAGCAGTCTGATTTAATTAAGTCACCAAAGAGTTCCTTTCAATCCTGATGGCCATCAGAAGCACAAATCTAACAGATAAAGTCTGAAGCTGCCACAACCCCCCCAGGTCACAGGTATTTTGTACTAGTATTACATTCCTTGTGTAACTATTTCCCCCCCTTATAAAACATTGATACATGAGTTTTATAAAGACAGCACCAGTAGGGTTCTGTTCTGAAACAGGAAAAGCAAGGAAAAATGGGGTGGGGGGGGTGGGGGGGCGTGATTTTTGTTACTATTTTAATACTCAGAAGAAACAATAAGTTTTCACTGAACTTGCACAGAAATGCACTGTCAAATATAGCTGGACCTAAAGAGCCAGTGATTTGGAAGTGATGAAAGAGGCAAATATTATCACTGGAGTCAAGGTCAAGAAATCTCTAAGTATAAATAGCTCTTAGTCACCTTGAAAAACAACTTCTATCCTCGTAAGTCTTCTGTGGCAATTTGAAGGTTGTGCAATTGCAATTTCTCGTAGAGGTGGGGAGACCACAGTTTTTTCTCAGTCACCCTT